TTAAGCTATTTACAACCCATCCAGCGTTTTCATATTTCATATTTTAAAATATTACTTCGTAACTTTCATAAACTCGTAGCAATAATCTATACGGAGAGAATGTATGTGAAAATTAATTTGTAATATGCGCAGTTGCCGAGAAATGCTCAATTTTGCATGGGTCACTCTTTACGCTATTGTGCCTGTAAAAGAGTCAATTATTATTGGATTTTCATAAAAGTGGCACCATTTGATGCGTAATGTCAATTTTAACTAGGTCAAACCAATTTATTCAAATGAGTCGTATCTGTTATTTGTTTAAAATTTTGATATTTGATTCAAATCAACTAAAAGAATAAACCCATACGATCATATAGATATCACTAAATGGTTTCTAACTTGTTCAGTTGCGGAGAAATAGGCAAATTTCAACAGGTCACTTTTCAAGGTTTTTTGTCCACAAAAGTGTCAATTATTATTCGATTTTCATGAAATGTTCACTGTATGATACCTAATGCCATTTACGATTTCATACAAGTAATTTAAGATTTTCATTATCACCGGAAGTAACGTCATTTTGGCAAAAACTGTATTTTTAGCCTTCAAAACAGGTATTTTATTCAAATGAGTCTGATTTGTAATGTTTTTAAAATTATGATATTTGATTCCAATCAGCAAATAGATTGAACCCATACGATCATACAGATACTAGAAAATGGTTTCTAACTTGTACGGTTGCAGAGAAATAGACGATTTTCTACAAGTCTATAAAAGTGGCAATTATTATTCGATTTACATAAAAATTTTCACCATGTGATGCTTTATGTCATTTCTGATTTCATAAAACTAATTGAACATTTTCATTATCACCGGAAGTACTGTACACTTACATGTAACAAATGTATAAAATGAATTGATATTGCTGGATTTGGTTGATTCGGCGTCCATTTTATTTGATGTGTGCAATGCTTATGTGGAAACCTGTTTAATGGTTTCATTAGTACCGCACGTGACATGTTTAGGGTAACGTGGCACCGGTGAAACCCGTCATTACTGCATCGCAGTTCTAGTTATTTATTATCATTATTTTTTTTTCGCCATAGCCTATTTCTCAGTGCCTGTAACAGATACCGATATGGGACCTAATTTCCTATCGGAAACCATGTGGTGGCTACTTGATAAACTATTTTTGAAACTTCTGCGCCGACCGGAAGTGGCCTAATTTCGTGCGGTGCATAAAAATTAAAAAACGGCCGTAGCTTCGTCAATTCTGTACCTATTTTCATACAAATGACATTTTCAGAAACCCTGAGTCTTTTCTCGGACGATAGCAGTTGAAACTTCGTCGCTGACTTCTAGCGTTCGAAAAATGAAAAAATGTTGTTTAAGAGACAATTTTTGTTATTTTTCAAAATTTTCAAATTTGACCTACATTTTTGGATACCTGAAGACAATCCGATTCCAGAAATCTAAGTTTCATTCCGAGTTATCGCCCTTTATTTTTCGATTTTTTTTCGAATTTTCTGCCCATTTCCCAACCCTTATTTTTTTGGGAAAGGATAAATCAATATTTCTGAAAGTCCTGGAACATAAAGCTATATAGTCAGACCGCTGCATAAAGCAATTCCAACAATGATCCGGAAACCGGAAGTTTCTGTGTCCAATATCAATGGATTAAACAAATTAAGCTTTCGTTGGGTGGCCCGGGGAATGAACTGTCGTATGATGCCCAATTTATACGGATAGTATGACCAAGCAGCAAAATATGACAAGCTGAAAATCAAGTATTTTCTGATTTGGAGCGTTTTTGAACACCTGTATCTCGAAAACTGCTCCAAGGATTTTTCTTAAACTTTCCCTATCGAGAGTCCCTCCGGTAGTCGTGTGCATGAATCCATCCAATAAGACATTGAAATGTCTTGAATAGGTAAAATAACGTACTGAAAATCGAAAAAAGTTGAAAAATCGTGAAATTTTGGAAAATGCTCTATTACTTTATTATTTAAACAAATTTTTACAAAAACGTTACACATTCAGATAGCTGACCTAATTACGATTCTAACAATGTATAATATGTATAGAAATATTTAAATTTAATTTTCGATATATTGACATTTTTGCATTTTTGGCACTATTGAACATTTCCCAAGGACATTTTATCTGATCAGACAATTACATAGCTCTAAGCCAATCCGGTTATTAAAACTATCCCGACAACAATCTCCATACCGGAAGTATTCAAAAAATGAAGAATGAAGGTTTAAAAAAATAGCGCTCTTGCGATAAAATTGATTTCTCCATCAGATGTTAGCAGACCAAAAGAACTAAAGTATCGCTGGATAGCCCTATTAATGGACTATCATATGACATCTGAATGGTACGATTTAGATGGCTAGAAAATAAATTATGGTTCGCCGAAAATCTAGTATTTTCCGTTTTGGAGCATTTTGAGACGACATTTTCTCGAGAACGAAAACTAAGTTCCTACTTAAACTTTTTTTACCCAGAGTCCTATCGGTGGACTATGGCGTGGGTCCAAAAATAAAAGCATTGAAATAATATAAGTGGTCCAAAAAGAACCTCAATTTTGGAAAAATGTTGAAAAATCCTTAAATTACTGAAAATGATCTTCTAATTTTCTTTCTTTGGAAAACAGCTGAATGGATTATTCTGAAACTTCTTGTATAGAAGATAAGGTAAGCAAACAACTTGTTAAAGCTATCCCGACAGTGATCTAAAAACCGGAAGTAGTCGAAAAATGTTCCGATATTTTGAGAAAAAAACCCGTAAAAAGTAAAAAAATGGCGATCTTGCGAAAAAAGTGATTACTACGCCAGATTCCACCGAATCAAAACAACTAAAGTGTCATTGGATAGTTCGAACAATGAACGATCTTATGACATCTAAATGGTAAAAATTCGCGGGTTAGGCAATATATAATGGAATGCTGAAAATCTATTATTTTCCTTTTTTGAGCCTATTCAGACGCTTTTATTTCGAAAACTTCTCTTATTTCCTTTCTTAAACTTATGTTACTTAGAGTCCTAACGGTGGTCTATGGTGTGAATCCAAATTTAAAAGCCTCAATATAGTATAAATGGTCCAAAAGGGCCACAATCTTTGACAAAAGTCGAAAAATCGTTATATCTGTAATTCTGCTTCTAATGGTATAATGTCCAATGGGTCTTTCTGAAACTTCTGGTACAGGAAGTTAAGTTCCCATACCACTTGTTAAATCTATCCCGACAATGATCCGTAAACAGGAGGTAGTCAAAAAAATATTCGATATTTAAAAAAAAAGACAGTAAAAAAATCGGTGCTCTTGCAACAATCAGGATTTCACCGTCGGGTGTGACCGGATCAAAACATCTAAAGTATCGTTTGGTAGCTCGATAAATGGGCTATTGTATGACACACTTCCTGTCTAATTCCTGAAAGCCGGTTCAGTGCTGCTTGCAGGTCTAGTTATTATTATTATTACTAAAACAATGAGATTTGGCTTGAAGATTATTATTGTAAGAGTTCAGTTGTGATTGATAGTAGGTGAGTTGATTCAGATAGCTCAATAGCCACAACAGATACAAATTATTATGAAACATTTTGATCAAATACTGCATTCAGAGTTACTATTTTAAACAAAAAAAACACGCAGAACAAATACACAAACAATGTTTTCAACCTAGGCTTCCTAAAATTAGGCCTACATTTCGATGAAAAGGAGATAAATAAATATTTCTTCGCAATAGCTACATTTAAACAGCAAACACAACTTCGCATCAAAATGTTCCCCATGCACAACAATAAACCTGAAATCTATCGCATAATTTATCAACAATTAAAATTATAATCTATTGTTTTACAATTATTTGAAAGTGACGGCTTTACCACGCCTGCGCATTATATATTTGTATGTCGAAATCCACATTTATCCACAATAAATCACAGGCACAAAAAAACACAGAGCACAACAAGGCACAGTCAGCCACTAAGACGCTTACAATAATAGTTGCAGAGATAAAACAATTTGACAATAAAGGTTGCTAACGGCAGGCCCATCGGGGCGGCCATTTTAAATTCTTGACAGTCGACAGCTGATCGACACAATGTAAACATTCTCCATGACAGATAAGTCCAAATACAAAAGCAATACATCCATTTCACATCAAAATGGTCCTGGTGATCACGCACAAACATTGCATCAAAAATCTATCAATCCATTATTGATAAATATATAATTATCGAAAAGACACTCACAGTACCGTTTGAAGGTACATGCTAACCAGCGCATGTGCACACATATATAGTATAAAAAAAATAATATACTATTTTCTCAAAGAAAATTCAACAACAATGTAAATACATTTCAGTTCAAGAGAACATATTAATTTGAGGTTTTAAATACAATTTCTATACACAAAAGTATGTGTCCTTTGTTAAATGTATTTAAAAAGATCAGCTTTTTGTTTTAGCTTGATATGACGAGATATTAATCTCTGAACAATGACCACGGCATATGTCTTCTTGCCATTTGGTTCTAGGATTACATTCATGCTGTCTGAAATTTCAAAAAAAATATGTCACTGCCAATGGGCAACCTCTGTTGAAGGCAAAACACTGCAAGCTTAATCATAGTGGAAAGTTGATTAACCGATTAAAATTCTAGTAACATAATTTATAAAATATTTAATATCCAAAGTATTATTTACGACTTGGATCATATGACAAAAGTCTATGAATATTTCCATTCCAGAATTGTACTGGTTTTTCTTTTCTCGGTAATAATCCGATGAAAGGGTAATTATATTAACTATAACTTTGACATCCTTTATTCCGACACATTGCTATAAAATTAAGCTTTTGAACAAAAAAGAAGAAGAAAAAAAACCTATTAAGACCCATTTAGATTCGATTGATTTGGTTTGTAAAACTTATTACATCCGTAATGCTTGGTACCGGTGGCTAGGTGTCGCTCGATCAATATCTTCTCGTCCTTTGCCTCATTCTATTGGTCGTCCATTCCTTTTAGTACTGCCATAACACGCTTTCAACGCCACTTGGTTTCCAGAGATAGAAATTCTGACAAATGCGTATATAAATGCGGATAGATTTAATACTTACATTGGACATTTGTTTTTATACCTAACTAAAGTGCTATTTACGCCGACACACGTATATTTACCGCTGGAATATTGCTTAATATGGAAGTAAAAATGGGACTATATTTAGTGGCCGTCTGGTTCCTGATACTTGGAGTTGCCATTCTATTCGTCAGTGCAGGTAAGATGGCGGGTTGATGTATATTATATACATGTATATGTTTATAATCTTCTAAATCGTGTGAAAATAACAACGTGAGTATCTGCATGATTATTTCAAATAATAAACCTAATATAGTTATTAGATTTTTATATTATCGGCATGTTTCACGCGAAAAGGTAACATAAAATAACAACAATCTCACATTTCAAAGCCAGTTTAATGATCATTTTATTAACATTCTACACAATATCCGCATATATAATTTCATAGACGTTGATTATGATGTACTGTTTTATTTTATAGGAAATAATACGTTTTAACAAAGCTAGGAATAACACTTAAGGTCAAATGAAATAAATACATGTAGCAATACTACATATTCCTGAGTTTACTCTTTTCGCTTATAACCCTTACAGAATTGGTTATATCTAAAGACTTTATATTTAGAAATAATATCACTTTATAACACATTCTACAGTTAGTAGATATCGCTAGTGTGGGATCTTTCATAATCTACATCGCTTTACATGAATTTGATTGGTCAATTAGAAAGGAACTCCTTTTTATACGCCCACATTTTCATGTGGACGTATATTGTCGTCGCCCCTGTCCGTCCGGACAATTGTTTGTGGACACTCTACAGGTCACAATTTTTATCCGAGTTCAGCGAAACTTGAAATATAGGTTTATCTCCCTAAGATCTCGGTTCCTTTCGATATTGGCATTTTTACCTTGTGGACCCTATAGAGGTCATAGTTTTTATCTAATTTTGTTGAAACTTGAAATGTATGTTTATAACCCAAAAATCTCGGTTCCTTTCGATATTCGTGCATATCGGACCGTAACTTCATGAATTATGGCCCCTGAGTGTACGAAAAATAGCGTTTTTAGCTTGTGGACCCTATATCGATCATAATTTGTATCCGATTTAAAACACACGTTTGAATATATCACCATGACACCCTAAGGATGGTTGAGTTTGAATTTCGTAAAAATCAGCCCAAAACTGACAGACAAAATGGCCGCCCCTCGTACTCAAATAGCGTAAAAATATGGTATATCAATGTTGTGAACCCTGTAGAGGTCACAATTTTCTTCTGATTTTGATGAAACTTGAAATGTAAGTTTATAACCCATAGATCTTGGTTCGTTTCGATATTCGCGCATATCGGATAGTAACTTCCTGAATTATGTCTCCTGATTGTACGAAAAATTGCGTTTTTAGCTTGAGGTCCCCTATAGATGTCACAATTATTATCCGATTTAAAAAAAACCGTTCAAATATATTACTGTTACACCGTAATTTTGGTTGAGTTCGATTTTTGTGAAAATCGGGCCAAAACTGCTGGACAAAATGGCCGCCGCTCGTACGCAAATAGTGTTTAGCATCTGGTATATCAAACCTTGTGGGCCCTCTAGAGGTCACAATTTTGACCTGATTTTGGTGAGAGTTGAAATACATGTTTATAACCCAAAGATCTTGGTTCTTTTCGATATTCGCGCGTATCGGATAGTAACTTCCTGAATTATGGCCCTTGAGTTATGGTCCATGTAGAGGTCACAATTTTTATCCGATTTAAAAAAAAACATGTGAATATATCACCATTACACACTAAGATCTTGGTTCCTTTTGATGATCGCGTATATCCGAACGTAACTTCCTGGATTATGGCTCCTGATTGTTCGTAAAATCGCATTTTTAGCATACGGATTCTCTAGAGGTCACAAATCTTTTTCCGATTTTAAAAGCCGTTAAAATATATCACCATTCCACCATAATGAAGGTTGAATTCGAATTTCGGGAAAATCGAAATGAAACTGCCCGACAAAATGGCCGCTCTTTGTACGCAAATTGTGTAAAAGTATGCAATACGAAGGTTGTGGACCCTCTAGAGGTCACAAATTATTGCCCCTGATTGTACAAAAAATCCCGTTTGTTTTTAGCTTGTTCTCTATTCATCTGTTGCAAAATGTGGGCGAATCCTGCCTGGCAGCTGCTGTTTTTTTATTAAAAAGGAACTACTTTTTGGATCTAGTAATTTTGTTGGAGAAAAGTTCTAAAGTTCTCAACTACCATAACAAATACAATACTCCCCATAACCTTAAAAGAAACGCCGGGTCAATATATATAGGACTTTGCAACGGGTGTCAAAAAATGATGTATCACTACGCCGTAATGTAATCAGGTTCAGTAAAATAAAATCTATACCAAAGAATTATATTTATTTATTTGTACACGCAAGAAAGAGTTGGGTGATAAATAAAATCTCCTACTCGTCATTTTTATATCAAAAAATATCAACACTCATCTGTTTATTAGATCCTGCAATAAAAGGGAAGTAATACAAATTTTAACCCACTGTGTGTTAAAACAACGAATGGTGTAGATATTTGGTGAATACTTTGTTTCGAATGATTAAATTCAAAAGAAATGGACCATGATCAAATCGTGTACCTCTCCAATTGCGGAAAAGTTTCAAACTGTTTTAATCAATTTTGTGGATGTAGTAAAGATTAACTTACGAAACATTACAGAAAGATAGATCAATAAATCCAGTGATTACGTTTCTAGTGTAAAGAAAGATTTGTAATATAAGAATCTCCAATGAAAAAAATGGAATTAAACAGTTAGAAGGTTTAATGGATCCATGTGATTTAAAGCGTCGACACATGGATCCAAAATTTTCACAATCTACAACAGAATACAATACAGAACAGCTGTATTCATCCGCAAAAAAAAATAGTACCTAAAATTCATGTACATTATATAGGTTTAAACGTCAAATGAGGTCAAATGAATAGAGACGTCTTTAATATATATTAAATATTCGTATCATCCCAAATCGACAATAAAACAGTGAGAAAAAGGAAAATCTAAGTAATGGCAATCTAATTAACATAAAATTTACGACATAATGGATTCTTCAATGTTTTGATGGTGATCATGAAGAAAATAGGCCTACATCTGTTCTCAGGAATCCGATAAGATTTTCAAAAAAAAGATCAGTAGAATTATAGATTGTTATTCCACAAAGTCGAAAGGTATGTTAGATTTTTCATCCAGTCAAGTTAGAGCGAGTTTATTGCCGTACTTTGAGCTCCAAACCCGATAGAAATGAAGGCGGAAGTGGCCATAATAGTTTTAGAGATCACTACGTGATGGCGCTCCTGCGTCGCGACAAACGGGGCCGATTTGTCTAGAAACACGTACGTTAGGCAACTCAACGATTGTTTTGAGAACCTTGTAAAAGCAAAAGGAAAATACTACTATTGTCTGAACCGTCGTAAATTGTAAACAGATTTCTTCGATTATGAACAAACTACTTGACTTTGGTTCTTAAAAACTTACCCGTGTGTTTCAAATCCACCCATGTCGAATAAAATCCATTGCACAATTAAATATTCCAATCAATAAAAAAGTTCTCTCTTGAAAAATTTGACTATACACTGAGTGGACGACAACATGACTTTCCTCACGTGTTAATGCTGGGGTGGTTAACTTTGACAGATCCACGTATTGCAATCAAAACAAAGCGCGACCCATTTCGATCGTTTGAGTTTGTACTGAAACCATTGCACGGATACTCGTAAAATAAAGTCATATATAAACTAAAATTTTCCTATCTTCTTTATATTATAAATAATTTGACAAGCAAAATGAAGTTCACGTCCGAAGTTTCCGAGTGTATTTGATAGCATTCTTTCAATCCAATAATAACCGTTTCAATAACATCCATAAGCGTGTTGCGGCAGCCCTGAAAGTGCCTATTGGGTGCGTTTATAATGCTAAGAAGCCCGTAATACCTCGCAAGAAGCTCAACATTACTTCACGATTCTACAGGTTGGACTGTAGTATCATACATAAAACTATCCACAGTCTGTATTTCTTGCAATGGCTATGTAGTTTGTCCTGTCCACAGGTTTGTCCCTTCGTTGGACCGTAGTATCATACATAAAACTATCCACAGTCTGTGTTTCTTGTAATATCTTTGTAGTTTGTCTTGTCCACAGGTTTGTGTTATTTTTTGTGTTTTTAGGGCGATTCTGCCCTACAACCCACTCTTATATCAAATATTTCAACTGCCAAGGGTTCTTTAAAGGGAACCCAAGGGGGGCGAATGGTTAATACGCGCACATTGAGACAAATAATACAATTGTCAAGGGTTCTTTAAAGTGAATGCAGTGGGATTGGTTTCGATTCTGGACTTGTACCCAATTATCTCTTGCCATGTCCTACACTACTGGCGTGTGGGAACTATGCCGGAAAATCGAGTTGAAATTTCTCGACCAACGCCTTATACTCGCCTAACCACTATGGCTCCCCTTTGCTTATGACTTGTGATTGTATATAAATATTTTGTACATATTATTTTATATTTGCCATTTTCTCTGATATATTTTTCATTGTAATCCTGTAATCTTGACGATTTGCTCCTTTTATGTACAAAATATTCATTTTGTTTGTTTTTTTTAAATGAGGAATGGATTCTACATCATTTTATTACTCCTGCAAAATAGTGCATTTTTCTTTTGTTAGTTTTCTGTGTATGCTAGTTATTTCAGGATGCCCCACAAATCCCTTGTAATATGAGTTTGTAGCACTTTTCAGTTTTTGAAAGTATTTCAGTTTAGTGCATAATTAATATTATTAGTGCTTGGTTTGGATGTTATTTAAATTTAGATATATTTGAATTATATATTTTTGGGGTATTGGGTAGGGATACTGTGTACATATCTTTATATTCTCAGTTCTTGTTTTAGGGTAAAGAAAAATTTAAATAGCTATTTTATATTTTGTGATGGGGAAGGGGGGGGGGGGGTCATTATATAGCATAATTTTACTAGTATTAAAATTATTTCTCTGTTTTTCTGTTAACATTCCAAATGTCTATTTTATTTTGATTTAGCCGTATTATTTTACATTTTATGAATAAATAATAATTTAACAAAATAATTTATTGTTACCTCATTTATCAAACTTTACAGGTTAAACAGAGCAAAAGTAGGGGTGCTCCATG